AGATAAATAATTCTCTTGAGTGTTGATTCGGTACTTGGATTAGTAAGAGCGCTCTGGTTCATGAATGTGTTTTATGAATCACTATCCATTAGAGAATCAATGATACTCAAGGATGAAGATATAATTAGAGAGGTTAACGGATTCTACCTGACTCTAATTATGAATTATTTATGAAAAATTGATCTATATGCGATGACTATATCAAATGGACACTTCTCAGTTTAGAAGTAATTAATGTCTATAATTTCGAGAGTTTAATTCCAAGTTTATAGTGGAGTAACTATTGGAATTAATAGAATTAATTAATTAATTAATTAAAGTGTTTAATTAATTATTAATTTTATTAGAGCTTGGGATTATAGGTCCATTAGTCACCGCGTCGTCCTTGTAATTCTACCAGACACAAAGGACAAAATGGGAATTTTAGAATTATGGAATTCTAAAATTAAATACTCGAAAAATAATTAATTGAGAATTAATTATTATTTAAATAATGTGATTATTTAAATTTGAAGTTGAATCATGAACATAATTTAAATTTATCCTTTTAAACTTATTTGATAAGTTGTTCAATTTATAATTCAAATTAATTTAAGTTTGACTTAAATTCGAATTTGAATTTGAATTAAAATTAGACTACAGGATAAAAAATGATTTCTCTTCCTTCCCTATCCGTAATTGGCGCCACACACAAGAAAAAAAATCCCAAGGATGGCCGGCCACAATAGGATAATGTAGAGGAGGATTTTTTTGTTCCAAATTCAAATAGGAGATAGAGATTTAATTCCTTTTTGAAGTTTGACTTATACTCTTTAAATACGAGAATGATCGAAAATTGTGAATACAATTTTTGAAACAATTTTTCTGCCATAATAGTTAAGGCTGGCCGAAATTCTCAAGAGAGAGAGAGAGGAAAATTTTTTCTCCCAAAAATTTCACATCGTGCATGCATTGGTGTTTGTGAAAATTTGAGTGTTTTTGAAACCTGTTTTGTCTCACGTGTGCCCACACACACGTCTACGTGGAATCAAGGAATTGACGTAGAAGACTTTGGTTTTCTAAACACAAAGATTTGAGCAAGGATTGTTCGTAGTCAAAGAACTCAAGTTATTATCCGAGTCGGCCTCCAGGTATTTTTCCTAATCGAGTTATTGATATATAAATTAATGTGATTAATTTATTCGTGCATAAATTAATATAATATATAGATTATCTCAAAAGTTTTATAAAAATTTTTGTTATACACGATCCGCCTCCCCGCCACGCTTCCACATCCGAATTCGATTCGGTTTCCAACATTATGTCCGTCATATCTGCATAAAATCACATAAAAGTTAAAAAACACACAAATCTAAAAGTTAAAAAAAACTTAACTTATTGGTACGCCATGTATACCGAAAAATCTCCCTATTTATTTATCAATTTGGCTAATTTAAAATTTTTAAAAGAAACTAAAATTTAGTTAGTGACTCGACATTTAAGAAAAATTTAGTGGGTGATTTGCACTAAAATATTTTTAGCTACTTAACTAAAATTTTACTTAAATCACAATAAGCGTAAAATGACAAAAGAATTAAACTCTTTTTAAAAAAAAAAGAGTTTACTATGTTTGATTAATTTGGCAGTTTAAAATTTATAAAAATTCCAATCAAAACCAATAAAATAATAAAATCAATTAAATTTAGGATCTTCTTACAAATTGTGTCTATTTCTAATGGTTAGATTTAATTAAAATCACATTAAATTAAAAACATACATAATAAATAGCTTCTAATTAAGATTTAGTAGTTAAAAACAAAAAATTATCAGTATTTTTTTGGACCTTCTTCCATAGACCAGTCTACTGATAAGTCCAATTTGTAATAGTTGAATCTGATTAAAATCATATCAAATTGAAACAAATATGTAGAACAAACAATTTATAATAGAGACATTACGGCTGAAAAGTAAAAAATTATTTTACCCCTCCTACTAGAGAAAATAATTTTTTTTGAGACTTGGGACATAAGTCTCATTCTACTATATACTATAGAAGGTCGGGCTTTTACTGTTCAAAGAACAGTGTGAGCTATTTTTTCTCCCTTAGCTCTTGAAAATTTCGTATGTGTCCCATCACTTTTACTTTTATTGTTTTGCCCCTAGCTTCTAGTCTTTTTTGTCCCTCAACTTTTAGAAAATTCTGTCTGTCTCCCCTTACTTTTGCTTTTACCATTTTGCCCTTAGCTTCCGATCTTTTTTGTCCCTCAACTTCTGAAGATTTCCATATATGTCCCTCCACTTTTGCTTTTACCGTTTTGCCCTCACTTCTTATTCCTTCATTTTGTTTTTTGTTTGGGCGTTTTGGTCAATTTCCTAGTATGTACTAAATTTCTTTAGAAAACTTCTAGAAAAGCTTTGTTAACCTTTTTCTTCCCTTTTTGCCGCTCTTCTTTTTTGTTTATTACTCATTTAGTGTTAATTGTAGTGAGAAAGTGTACTTTGAATAATGCACTTTTAACTAAAATGACATGTTTATTTCACCGATTCGAGTTTAAAATTTGAGTTTTGCTACAGTAAAAAGTTATCAGAAATAGTAACATCTAACCTTTTTACTACAGTAAAAAGCTCTTACATAAAGTCACATCTCAACTCGAATCAACGAATTAAACGGGTCTGTAGTTTTGGTTGAAAGTGTGCAACTTTCTCACTTTTTTTTTGTCTTTTTATGTTATTTTTACTTTTCATCCTAAAACTTATTCGTATTTTTTATTTCAGTCCTTTTTATTTTTTATTTTTTTTTCTTTTTGTCCTAAAATTTAATGTTCATTTTCATTTTGGTTATTTTTGCCTTAAAATTTATTCATTTTTCCCTTTTGGTTTTTTTATTGATAATGTTTATTTGCTTCTTGCCCTAACTTTATTTTTACCCTAAAACTTATTTATTTTTTCATTTTAGTCATATTTTTTTTTTTTTTACTTTTTGTCATAAAATTTTTTCATTTTTTGTTCCTTTTACCCTAAAACTTATTTATTTCTTCATTTTAATCCTTTTGACCTTTTTTTTATTTTTTGCCTGAAACTTTATTTTTTTTTTTCGTTTTGGCTATTTTGCCTTAAAACTTATTTATTTCTCCATTTTAACTTTTTTTGACTATTTTTTTTATTTTTTCCTAACATTTTATTATTATTTTTTATTTTAGTTCATTTTACTCCAAAAATTAGTTATTTCTCCATTTTTTTCTGTTTGACCTTTTTTAATTTTTTTCTCTAAAACTTTATTTTTTTTGCTTTGGTTCATTTTGCCTTAAAACAATATTTATTTATTCATTTTAGTCATTTTTAACTTTATCTTGACTTCTTATCCTAAAACTTTTTTTTATATATTTTGATTCTTCATTTAGATTTTATATTTAAATTTTATATATTTTTAATAATAACATAATAATTAATTAATTACGATTTAACTAGGGATAGTAATTCGTGTCACGTGTCGTGTTTTGATTGTTTTTTTTTTCTAAATTTACAGTCAACCTGAATTCGACCTGTGATATGAAATTTTTTAAAAACCTCAACACGAACACAACACGACCACTTTACGGGTTAACACGACATGACACGAAAATGATCCGTGACACGAAATTGACCCGTGAACCCGAAAATTGTTTACTTTTATTTAGTTTTTTACATATTAGAAATAATTTAAAATTGATAACACACTAAAATACAATAACATCCATTGAAATTAAACAAATAATAGTATAAGATTTTGAGTATAATTTTCATGATATCACAAGTTCACACTAAAATTAAAAATATGTAATGAAAAATATATGTATTTTTTAATTTTTTACGAATTTCGTGTCGTATTGAGGTTAGACGGGTCCAACCTAAAATTGATTCGTATTTTTTGTGTCAATTTCAAATCGACCCAATTTTAATCTAAAATTTTTTTCTCAATCTTAATCGATAAAATTTATATAATTTTTGAGTCATATTATCATCGTATCATAACTCATATTGAAATTTAACACGAATTATTTTTCACGTAAAAAGTACGAGAGTTCAAGTAGTTAAGACTAAAGCCAATCAATATAGTCTAGTCAATTTTCACATTTTGTCGGTGTTTTTAACACCATCCACACGCACTAAAAAGAAAAATAAGAATGGAGATTATTTTTATTTTTATTTTTATTTTATTTTTAAGTCTATAGTCGTCAGTGCACATTAGAGGAAGCCAGCCGGCAACTTTAAGAGCACTCCGTTAATTTACTAAAGCCCACGTCCACTTGCCCAAAGAAAAGGCATCCACCCACCCAACAAACAAAAGCCGAACCCAAAACGCAAAACCCAAATTACCCAACCGAGAGTCTTGGCTGGCAAGTAGCAAAAAAGGGAGTGCCCAGAAAAAGCGAAAAAGTGGGAACAAGGCTGCGATAAAACATCCTCTCTCGCTTGTCTGAACTTTCCTCTTTCCTCTTTCCTCTCTCTCTCTGTCTTTGTGTGTCTATGTAGGGATTTGCGGAGTAGCAGCCACTCATCTAAACCCACACCCTCCCTTCTTGACCTAATGGATTGATCCTTTAGTTTCTCGGGCGAAATTCTCATCCTTCAGGTAAATCTCTCTTCTCTATCGCTCCCGAGCTTGTTTTATGCCTTCTTTTTGCCTTTTCTGCTCAGATCGGCGCCGTTTGTTTCGGTGGAAAATGTCTTCATTTTCCCGGAAATTATTTTGGTTTTCCTTCGTTCGAGCCCGCGCTAAGAAGAATAATTACGTTCGGAGTTGTTGATTTGGAGAAATTGTTTGTTTTTAGCTGCTTTGAGTGTTTTTTCCCTATTTGTTTCAATTTCGTGTTTTTTTTGTTCGGTTAGGGTTTCGATCGCTGTTGTGGGTTTGATATCTTGCGATCTTTTAGCTGGATATATTATTTGTCGAATTTCGAGCTTGAAATATCGCTGGTGAGTTCCTTTTTTTTTTTTTTTTTTTTTTTTTTTTTTTTTTTTTGCTTTAGACTTTTAGTGGAAGTTTTCTCCTGCGTTTGTTGGTTTTTCCCTTTCTAATTTTAGATGTTTATGCGCAAGTTTTTGAATTTGATTCCCTTTTGAGGTTAATGCTCGTCACGATTATAGCTTAATTTTGTTTTGGAAAGGTTTTAACTGATGATTACTGCATATACGAGATGACCACGGAAGTGAAAAGAGGTTTAGAAACTACTGAGGCTGGGTTTTGAAAAATTCAGTGGTACATCGTTTATTGACAGTCTCTATAGTGTTATTTATTGAAAGGGGTGTTGACTGTTGAGATGAGTATGTGTTTCGAACGCATATGTTGAGTATAAATGTAGCTTTAACATATATAATTTACACACCGTAGTATCTATTTTGTTTGGAATTCAATTTTTGGCTGGAAATATTTGTGGTAAGAATTGTCAGGCACGCTTTGAGGTATGAGAAAATTTTTCTTTATTTACAAGATTTCTAATTTTAATTTTGTATTACATGCATGACATGGTAGAAGCTCAATTATCAAGTGTACTATGAGAAAAGGTTCATCTACTCTGCATTGGTTCATCCAGCTGCCCCTCTTGGGCCCAGCGTGGCTACATCATTGTCTCTTTGTGGGGGGTTTTTGGGTTAGGAAACATGTTAGGAATAGGGAGTTTTTTGGTTAGTTAACATGGCATTAAGAAAGAGGCCTTGATGTATTGGTTAATCTGGTTATAATATCAGTTTGCACGATATTGAAATTTCAATTGGTTAAGCTATATTTTGTGTTTCTGCAACCTATGCGTTCTATTTTGTCTAATACTAACTTAATTTGTTTCTATAACTCTATCTTACTTACCTGCAGATTTTCTATCATGGAAGATACTCAGTCAGTTGCTACACTGATAGACAATACTACCTCTAAGATACAACAGCTTCAGAAAGCATTTGCTGAACTTGAAAGCCACAGAGCTATAACTCTTAATTTGAAATGGAAAGAACTTGAGGAACATTTTCACGGGCTTGAGAAATCCTTAAAGAGGCGTTTTCATGAATTGGAAGACCAAGAAAAGGAGTTTGAAACCAGAACAACCGAAGCCCAACGATTGCTGGAGAAGCGGGAAGCAGCTATAGTGGCCAAGGAACAAACATCGCTGGAGAGGCTTCAACAGAAGAGAGATGCTGCTGTATTTGCCATTACCGCCGCTCGAGAGAAGCATAGGAAGGTATCTTCTGAGGAACCGGCTGTCCGCACTGTTGTCTCCGTTGAGAGTCAAGTTGAGGAACCAAGTGTGGAAGACGCACCACAAGAAGTGATAGCTTCTGATGGTAACTTAGAGGGGATGAAAAGTCCTGAAGAGAGGATTGTAGATGTAAAGTCTTATCCCGAGTTAGTGAAATTATGCAAAGAGATGAACTCAGAAGGGCTCCACAAATTTATATCTGATAACCGAAAGAATCTTGCTGCTATAAGAGAGGAAATTCCATTTGCATTAAAAGCTGCAACCAACCCTGCGTGTTTTGTGTTAGACTCTTTGGAAGACTTTTACCGTGTGGAAGCTCCCAATGTGGATGGCAAGAAGGATGCAAACCTCTTAGGTCTCCGCCGAACGTGTATCATGTTGATGGAATGTCTGAGCACATTATTGACAAGCTTGGATTTGGTCTCTGCTTCTGAGATAATCACAGAAGAGGTTAAGGAGCAGGCAAAGTCAATTGCTGAAGAATGGAAGCCAAAGTTGGATGCCCTTGATCTGGATGATAGCAACGGGAACAAATTAGAGGCTCATGCATTTCTGCAACTTCTGGATACTTTTGGTATTGCCTCTGATTTTGATGAAGAAGAATTATCCAGGCTAGTACCAATGGTTTCTCGTCGTCGCCAAACGGCTGACTTGTGCCGTTCCCTTGGATTATCTGAGAAAATGCCAGGTTTGTCTTTCATTGTGCATACGACCAAAAGCCTCTCCCTGATCATCTGTTAAAACTTTCACTCACTTATTTGTACTGCTTTGAACTCTTCACCTTAGCTTGCCAATGCTGAATATCTACTTCGACATTGCTCGTTTGTCTCTCCCTTTTTTCCTTTCATATGACTTTTTATTTGTCTTTCATTTTCATTCCGATAAAATCTTCACGTAAACTACTAGTTACAAAGGGATCAGAAGACCTATAAACGTTTTGTCTTTTTCTCTTTCATGCTGTATCCTGACTGTCTAATTAATCAAAATTGTCCTGGTCCTTGGTCCTCCTTGTAAGCACCATTTTTTCCCCCAAACATCACCATGTCTGCAAAGCTTTTTGAATCATTTTTGAACAATTCCTGTGAGGTTCCTATTCCTTGGTCAATTCGCAGATGGATCAATATAACATTCAATGGCTTGGTTTGATGGACTAGATGGAAATACTGCAGTCGTAAAAGGAGAATTTATTTCAATTTGAATCTCATTGTGTTCTTGTTGAATTCTCCAGGCGTGATTGAAGTACTGATTAATAGCGGAAGGCAAATTGATGCAGTCAACTTGGCTTTTGCATTTGAACTCACAGAGCAGTTCGCTCCTGTGGCTTTACTGAAGTTCTACTTGAAGGAGGCTAGAAAAGTTTCTTCACCAGTTAAAGCTGGAAACACATCTCCTACAGCAGGAGTTCAGGTACAACCACTCTCAGCTAAATTGAAAATAGTGGTTTTAATTGGGTCTTTATTAGGTTGAGAGCTAAAAGAATAAAACCAAAACAATGCCCGAACAAGTCAACAGTAATGATCTGAATACAAGACTCAGTGTGCCAATATATTCGAATCTATATTCCTGACAAATTGAAGCTGAAAATCCATATACTGAACAGATCGCAATTTCAAGTTATAATGTCCAACTATTGTATTCTTGTCTCAGAATGAGGTGAACGAGCGAGAGCTAGCTGCTCTTAAGGCTGTGGTCAAGTGCATTGAAGATCATAAACTTGAGGATCAGTACCCTGTGGATCCGCTCCAGAAGCGGGTCATCCAGCTGGAGAAGGCCAAAGCAGACAAGAAAAGGGTGACCGAAGCTACAAAGCCTCAACCCAAGAGACCTCGAGCCAATGGTGTCGGGCCTCGCATCGCTAACGTTGCTGCTGACAAGACTTTTTATCCTAGAGTTGCTGATAATAGGTATCCGCAGTACATGTATGAAAGACCTTATGTTTATCCCGGACCAAATGACAACCACTGCCCCACCCTCATGGGTTCCGCAGCTTACAGTATCTCTCCCGGGCATGGCAACTACTTTGCAAATGGCTACCAGTACCAGACTGCATATCTTCACTAAGTTAGTAAAGATGGCCATAAGGTGACACTATGATCCTCTCATTTTAACGGTTAGTCTTAACCCTGCAGTTCGTTGATGTTCCAGTGTATGAATGAATTTAGTACTTAAGAAAATGACCCAAAAAAAAGGGGAAAAAAAAAACTCTTGTTAATTTGTTAGTTGATGTACTAGAACATATTTTGATCCTCTAATATATGTACTTTTGTTTTTTTCTTTTGTATAATCGCGTCTTCCATCTTTCTCCTATCTTGATTCTTGATTGCGTGCTTCAATGATTACATTGCACGAGAATGCGGAAATATTATAAACAGGACCAGCCCTCAGCTCCTATTCTGCTTTTGGTTTTAAACTTTACAGGTCTCGGACCCATTTAAGAATGATTTTCGAGTGGTCTTCGATTTTCATTTGAATTAATAAGGCCTAACCAAAAGGCTCTCTTAATGATATGAACCCTGTCAAGAAAATTGACGAAACCTGCATCAAAAAAGTTTTTTAAGATCGATCTAAAATCAGGCTTGGATGGAAATCTCGACCTGTTGTTTATATAGTAGCAAGAATTTTGGTTTAGTGTTAGACGCCATAATTAATGATGGGAGAATTGATTGATAAGTCTAGAACGTCACGAAAAACTCTGATAAGTTCAAGAAGTTCTTAAAGAACTAAAGAGAATGTTTAAACTTTTTTTGAAAAAAATATTGATATGTTATTAATGATATGAATAACGCGTATTAATAGGCTGAATTTACATAAATTTGAATTTTGGTGAGAACTTACTCAAATTTGACAAAAACTGAGAACTTATGGATAAACCAATAGGACCTGTGCTTGGGATTGATCCTCTGGTACCCGGGTATATCCACGTTTGAGCAGGCGTGTTGTATCATGTATTACTAAGGGAGAAAGAGGAAAATAGATTAAAACTTGAGATGAATTAAAATTAATAGGCCAATAGTTTACATAAGTTAATAAATAAGTTAAATTATTGTTTTTGTTTATAACTTGTCTGGTTATAAACCATAACTTGACAAGTTATTGTCCATAATTGTTCATAATTTGTCTGGCTATGAATCATAACTTGACAAGTTTGTCCATAATTTATCTGGTTATAAACCATAACTTGATAAGTTATAGCCTATTAAATTCTATAACTAAAAATTGGCCTATATACTTTCTTAAGCTTTTCATATTGGTCTATTTTTTACTATTTCCCTATTAATAACTAGTTATAAGCCCCCAAGCTAAGAAAAATTTCTTCTAACATTTAGTTAGTATTTGTTTATTACTCTCTTAGTAATTGAGTTTAGTAAAAAGTAAAAAATTTAGTAGAGCACATTTAAAAAGATAAAAAAAAAGGAAAAAAAATATCAGATAATAAATTATTTATGGGGTATATATAAAATGAATTATTTTAAATGAAATAATTACTCTCTTAGTAATTGAGTTTAGTAAAAAGTAAAAAATTTAGTAGAGCACATTTAAAAAGATAAAAAAAAAGGAAAAAAAATATCAGATAATAAATTATTTATGGGGTATATATAAAATGAATTATTTTAAATGAAATAAAGCGGAAAAAATCATAAAAGAATTTCAAAAAAATATTAAACTACAAAAGAGCACTTTACAAAAGATTAAAAAAACACTAAAAAAGTGCGAAAGAATAATAGAAATAAGAAAAAAGTAAAAATAAAAACAACACAAAAGAGAAAAATAAGAGATTGACATGTGGCCAAAGAAGATTAAAAAGAAGAAAATGTAAACAAATCTAAACATACATAAAGAGCTAGCTATGTGTTAACCTCTAATTTATTCTTTCTTTTATTATTATTATTTTCACTTTTTGTTTCTTCTTCTTTTTCCGCTTAAAACTCATCTACAGTTTTTATCTTTTCCTCTTTTTCTTTTTTATTCTTTTTTTTACCTATTGTCCTTTTTTGCCCTCTAATATTATTTCATAGTTTTTTTTTTTTTTTTGCAATATTTTTATTGAAATACTTTTTTTTCTCACCTTTTTTTACGATCATTCTTTTTCTCTTTTTTTTAATTAAAATCATTTTTTTTTCATATATCTTCCTAATTAAGTTATTTTTTTTTTGTCAAAACTCTTACGTAACTTTAATTATTTTTTGATGTGATTTTTTAAAATATTTTTTCCTCACACTCCAATTAATGGACTTTAGTTTTTAAAAAATCACGTGTTTTTATGCGGGATCAAACTTATAACTCAACTAGTAAAACAAAAAAGAGAAATGAGAGGTTGACATTGGGGCAAAAGGAGTAGCAACCTCGGCTCTTTTATATATAATATATGTTAGATTTAATTAAATTAGATTATATTATATATGTGGAACAATTTTTTTCGTTTTATTTTTTATTTTTTTCAGAATTAAATAAAGACTAATGTTTGGGATCCTAATTTTTATCTCAATCACATGCCAATTGATAAATTTTTAAGACGTTGAGATTTTCTTAAAGTAAAAAAAAATATATTATTTATTTTTTAGTTCTCAAAAAAAAAAAAAGAAAAAAAAGCGACGCCTAGATTAGGTGAATATGGGCCGATTCCAGAAAGGCCAGTCCGTATCTTATGGCCGATTCCAGCAAGCCTAATTAGTTTTATTTATTTATTTATTTATAAATAATAATAAGAGAGATTTTTACAATTACGCTCAAAATGAATCACAGTAATCTTGACAAATACTTATAAAAAGTACATGAGTTAAGATTTTTATCATTTACTCTTAATTCATAATCTTTTTAATCAAATAATTATACATTTTTATCATTTACTCTTAATTCATAATCTTTTTAATCAAATAATTATACTAATCAAAGGATATTTATTAAGAATAAAAAATAAATATACAAACTCGTACACTCTTAAAAATAAATTCTTCATTTTTCAATTATTATTAACCCCAAACATTTATCATTTTATTTCTACCCTTTATTATTAACCCCAAACATTTATCATTTTATTTCTACCCTTTAGACTAAACCTGATCAAAGGCCCAATATATAGATTACTAAAATACCCTCAAAGGTATTTACAAGATGTTAGCTGTCCCTGATCATCGGGTCTCCGATGACTGGCGACGAAACTCCGACGGGTCTCCAACGGCCGGCGACAGTGTCCCAACGACTAGTGGTGGAACTCCGACGGGTCTCCAATGACGTTATAGTCTGACACACTATAACCCATAGCCTGCCAAGCTATAACTCATAGTCTGTCAGACTATTACCCATAATTTGTGAGTCTATGACTCAGTCTTATAGGTTACACCAGCTGGCGGGTTTTCAATAGCTTATGGGTCTCCAACGGCCGTCCGGCGGGTTTCTGGCGGCGGTTATAGTCTGACACACTATAACCCATAATTTGTCAAGCATGAACCATAGTCTGTCAGACTATTACTCATAATTTGTGAGTCTATATCAAACTATGACCTACAGCCTGTCAGAATATGACCCATAGTCTATCAAGTTACGTGGCCAACATGTCTCCGGTCGCCGATGTCAGCCATAGTCTTTCAAACTATGATCCATAGTCTACCGAATTATGAGACTATAATCCATAGTCTACACTATAATCCATAGTCTACAAGATTATGATTCATAATCTAACAGATTATTACTCATAATGTATTAAATTAAAATCACATTAACAACAAATTACCAAATTTACATAAAAAAATAAACAACATGAGAAATATCACATTACAAAAAACAAAACACAATTCCAAAATCCATAAACAACAATTTCTCAGCCAAATTCTTGTTCAGCTTCCTCAACCCTTCAACATCCAATATAGTCCATTTAGTCTGCATGACCACTTGGCTCCCCAAAATAGCTAAAATAGGCAAACAAACAACGATTAACCAATCATCAATCATTTTGTGCTAAATGTCTTTGTAGCTTTAGGTACAGATAACAAACATTCACATTTTCGTGGCCAATCTCCAAATTACCTCCACCACTACGGTAATATTAAGAAAAGAGAGACTACGTTAACTCACTATGAACAATGTTGTATTCTACTTCAAAATATTCGACAACAAAACAACGTAGATGCAAAACTAACTTTCTATACAACGGGAAAGAACAAAAACTTGAAGCTATAAATAGAGAAACAGAGAGGACAAAGTTTTCCAAGTAGGATAACTTCACAAAAATTAAGTACCTTTGGTTGTCAATGTGTCATTAAACAACCTTTTCTTCTCACTGATCAGCGGGGAAATTAAGCCTCAGTAACAAGAGCAAATCCATATTACAAAAGTTTCAAAACAAAGTATCACAACATCTCTAAAGCTCCATTTTCTTCAAATGCGTGGACTGCCTGAAAACAAAACAAAAACTCTGTTCACTGATTTGTTCATACTAATATAGTTAAATTTATAGTCTCATCAGCTGCAAAGTTTAAATCAATTTCAGCACCATCTTATGCACTTTACAGGGAAAGTGCTATGAGATTAGAATGTATTAACTATTAACATACAATCTAAATAATAAGAGATCACAACGGTTAGAGGAATTATATAAGATAGGAAAAGCCTCCTAGAACTTACCAATAATAATAATAAAAAAAAGCAATTCGATGTACCATATGGTTTTTAACTTATTACAAATTACTAATTAGAGACAAAAATTTACTGTTATGTCAAAATGTCAATTGATAACAGATTGAAAAAGCAGAAAAAACAAACAGTAGCGATCAAATAATGATCATCATGGTGATATTCAACATTTTTACATAGACAAAAACGAGGTACAAAAAACATTTTCCCATCAATATTCACACCGATCACCTACAAAATTCACAAATTGTTCATCAATATATACACACATGCACAAAACAACTAAAACATACCACAAATCGAATCACAGAACCTATACGTACACATATACATATATATATATATATACATATACCTTGATCGGAAGGAGCAGGAGGAAAAGCAGAAACAGGAATACTCTCAAAGCAAGCGTTGAGCTTCTCAGTGGGAAATCCCTCAGTGCCTCTAAATCGTCGGAGATGGAGGGGGAGAGAGAAAGAAGCGCCGGCGACGGACTGGGAGAGAGATGAACGCCGACGACAGGCTGGGAAAGAGAGTGGAGGGAGAGATGGAGGCCGTCGGTGAGGATCGAACCGGATCCGGCGACGGAGGCGAAGAAAAAGAAGCCGGCGACGGACTAGAGAGAGGAGAAACTGGAGAAAGACAAGCGAAGAGAGAGAACTGACGAGATGAGAGAGAGAGAAAGGGACGTGCGATGGAGTGAAGAGAGAGAGAGGAGAGAGAGGGATTAAGATGACGTTTGGTTGGAGGATTCAAACCATGTGATTCGAATTATAGGAGAGAGAGGGATTAAGATGACGATTAAGATGACGTTTGGTTGGAGGATTCAAACCATGTGATTCGAATTATTTTTAGGGCCTGTTTGGTTGAGAGATTCAAAGATTCAAATCAGGGGATTCCGGTTAAATCAGTGTTTGGAAGTCCAAAGTAGGTTTCTGATTGAGATCATTTTGGGGCTCTGATTGAGGGTCCGTTTGGTATAAGGATTGAAATCAGGGTGATTTGAGTCATTTGATTCAGATCCATGATTCATGATTTGAATCGTGATTCAGAGTGATTAGAACCTTCGTTTGGATGTGTATATGCATGATTCTGATTCTAACCTGAAATGTGATTCGAACCAGTGTTTGGTTGTCTTATTTTATGAATTTGAATCATGACCAAAATATATAAATATTATATAAAAGTTAAAAAATTATATAATAATTACGTGTAATGTAAAAAAATATAATTCCTTATATAATTAAAAAAATGAAGTATTAGAAAAAAATTATACAAATACTTATAACTCAAAATTATAACAATCTAACTATGAAATAGGGGGAAAAATGTGAAATTTTGTTTAGACCAATTTCAGAGGAAGTTGAAAAAAAGAAACTGGAGTGGAATATATCCGAATATTCTTCATATCCATTTTGATTTACAATTTGTCGTAAATAGGAAAACGAAATGGAATTATGCTGCACGAATTCCACTTTATTTTTGACTGGGAAAAAATATGATTGTCGTAAAAGGAAAAACGACATAAACTAACTCCAAAGATTGGCTTGTCAGAATTGAAGTTTTCTGGTGAGGGACACAACTCTGCAATGTCGTCTCCTGGCATCAAATCATCAATTTCTTCACCTAGACAGGCAGTGCTTGCTTCTTCTCCATATGTAGTGCTCACCATATGAACAAGCTTACATAACACTTTTTTATAAGGCCTCAATAATTGAAGCAATCCGTAGTTGAAAAGCCATTACTCACAGGAAGGTGTTGAAAGACACCTATTAATCAACGCCAAACTATTACAGAAGGAATATAAGACATTTCAAGAATAATTGAATCAACATGAATGTAGCCAAAGGTTACAATATGTTCGAAGTTGGGTCATACTGCCTGATATTGGGTTAGAGTGAAATGGAGTGCTAGACTTGCCTCCTCCCAAGCCAAAACCGATCAAACAGCAGGAAGAGAGCCATAGGTCGGGAACAACAATGGCATTACAGTGCCAAAGGTCAGGAACAACAACTAGTTATAACTCGGCTAGCTATCACCTTAGCACTATACTCATCATTACTAGATTGAAGACATATTGATTTTGATTTTTCAACAAAATGATAGTTGCAAGCCACCAAAATTATTGTCACTTGAATCAAAGTACAATGCACACGAAATGTAAAACCAGATTTAACAACAAATTCATAGCAGAAAGTATTATACCATGTTCGAATGGAGCATGTTTATTGCAGATATTATCAAATAAAGAACCTTTCTTACCTGTAACAAACGCTATACTTCAAGAAATGAAATGATATTTGTACCCCGATTCGAATCATGATTCATGGTTCGCTACAGTGTTTTCTCTCATAAAAAATACACGTAAATAAAAAATGGTTCTAATCTCATGATTTTAATCCATGAACCAAATAATCCTTTAGTCTTTCAAAACTTTTTATATGTGTCCCCCTCAATAACAAAACTCTATATATGCACCTCTTATCAACAAAGTTTTCTCTATTTCATTCCCATTAAAATATTCTTTTTGTATAATTTTATTTCTTATTCAAATTATTTATAGTATTTTTAGCTAAACAACATCAATATTAATGCAAATCGATATAAAAATGAACAAAATTGAAAAACAAATCAATTTAAAATAAATAAATAAATAATAATAATAACAAATTTTTGTATTTTTTGGGCCATCTAATCATAAGGACGAACAACCAAGACTGGCGCGTGCATTCCACATGCGGGCGGAGGCGCGTCCTATAGAGGAAGGGGGACAAGCCATGTCAAAAAAGAATAAATAATAAGGAAAAAAATAAGAACAAGAAAAAAGGGATGATAAAAAATGAAATGAGAGAGAGAAAGGGGATTTTTAAAACAATAGACAAAGATGTGTATGAAAAGAATTTATTTTAATAGAAAAATGGAGAGAATATATTTATGAGTCACAATTAGAGAAAGCGAAAAAAAAAGAAGGAAGAATGTGAAATAAGACAAGAGTGAGAAAAAACCAAAAACAAAAAAACAAAAGGCGGGCCGGAGATCTTTTAAGACAATAAAAATACAATTCATCCTGACGTGGATAAAACCCGATTACTAACAAATACGCAACCTAACTGGACCTACTTTATATGACCAGTGAGGTTTTATCTTTATGGAGATGAATAGAAGTACTATTAAAATAATGATTAATCTTAAATTTAATTGTCAAAAAATAGAGATTTTTAGACAGAGAGTAAAAGAAAAAACCACAAAGGCGAAGAAGTTGACAAAAACAAAAGCAAAAGCCAATAAAAAGAAAAACCTGTTGGACGCAAAGGAAAAAAAAAACAACAAAACGTTTTGTGGGGAAGCGAGAGTTATGCTAGACACAAAGGAAAAAAACCAACGAAATGTTTAGTGGGGAAGCGAGAAACTCTTTCTCCCTCAGTAATAATTGATAGATAGAATATGAGTTGCAGTCACTGTCTTTTGATTTGATTTGATGATGATAAGTCATTAGTGTTAGCTTAAAATTAGGGTTCGTTTGATATTAACGTTCAAATCAGGGTGATTTTAGTTTTAATTTTGGAACCATAACTATGATTCATGATTTTGAGTATAAGTCATGATTCTAAAATCATAATCATAGTAAGGGGTTTGAACCACCCAAAGCCAAGGGAGGAGTGGTTTTAGCATCATGGGTGATTCATGGTTTAAAACATCACATTAGGGTTCAAACATTGAATTAAAACCATCCTAACCAAATACTAATTCTGGGTGAGTCAAATCAGAACCAATTTTTACTTTTTATAAACAAACACTAGTACAGAACAAAAATCATGGTTCCGGGTTTAGAACCCTTACACCAAACAACACATTAGTTAGCAGTTTAATGCATCGTTCATTTTATCGATTTAAGTTTAAAATTTGAGTTTTATTCCAGTAAAAACCTCTCAGAGACTATCACATTTAAATTTTTTATTATAGTAAAAAACTCTCTCATAAAATTATATCTCAATTTCAATTAAAATTTTAAATTAGCCAACTAAAACGGCTCTAAGGGTCCGTTTGGTATAAGGATTGAAATCAGAGCGATTTGAGTCATTTGATTCAAATCCATGATTCATGATTTGAATCATGATTCAGAGTGATTAGAACCTTCGTTTGGATGTGTATATGCATGATTCTGATTCTAAACTTGAAATGTGATTCGAACTAGTATTTGGTTGTCTTATTTTTTAAATTTGAATCATGACCAAAATAATGTTAATTTAAGAAATTATATAATAAATATAATTCGTTACGTGTAATTTAAAAAAAAAAATAATTCGTCATATAATTAAAAAAATGAAGTACTAGAAAAAATTATGCAAATAATTACTCAAAATTATAACAAGCTAAGTGAGAAGTATATGAAAAAAATGTGAATGAAATTATATAACAAGTCAAGCATATATCAAACTTGTCTCCCACGGCTTCCCTGGCATTCCACTCGAACGTCATCATCATCACTGTCTTGGTACGGAGAGTTTCGCTCATTTTGTGGTTCCTCAATCCCAGCTCGAACGTCGTTCGAGGGCACACCATCCACATGCGCTTATGGTCTATCTACACTAACAAACATGCCATTCAAATTCACAGGGCAGAAAAAATAAAGATTGCAATGCCATGTGCAATACTACTTATCACAGGCCATGTCAAATTCACAGGGCAGAACCAAAATTCTCGGTTTGGCAAAGTTCTTGTAATCAAGGAATAAGAATATGATTATATGCGTTTTTGGTGGGAAAACATATTGCATGGCAGACTTGTCATCACAGGGCATGGTCATATTGCATGTTGCATTATCAAGTCCAGTCTTTCCGTAGCATGGCAGACTTGGATATAAAAATTTGTCCAGCATTATAAATCCTAATTTGGACTCTCTCTAAGAGCAATAAAAACAATAACAGAAACGGACCCTTTATATCAAACAATAACCAGTGGTTTATTCTCAATACAAAATTTTCATCTTGTTCAAAAACGTCAGAGAACTATATTCAAAATTAAAATAAAAAAAAAGAAATTAGAGAACTCCCTCAGTCCCTCCCTCTCCATGCAACAAAAAAAAAAAAAAAAAAGAAAATGGGGAAAAGAAAACTTGAGGCTTCCCTTTTAATGCATTATATGCAACTGCAGCCATGGATAATCATCAAGCACATAAATTAAAAATTTCTCAAGCTTTCTCGGGAACTAAACTAGAAGACCATTCATTTATAAAAAAATGGGCAAAAAACGGGAATCAGACCATCAAGCACATAAATTTCTCATTGTTTGCAACTGCAGCGATGGATGATCAGAAACACATATAAATTTCCCAAAATTTCTCAAGCTTTCTCGGGAACCAAACTACAAGACCACTCATTTGCACTAACATGTTTAATCAAATCTAAAACACAACTTGGAGAAAATTATAAGTTAGCTAAATTGTATCAAACTTGCAAGTAATTTACATAGAGGAATCCTAAGGAAAGAAATTTTTAAAACAAAAATTAATGGCACTTTCTGCCACCAATTATATTACATGTCTTTACCAAGATCTATAAATAATATGGAGAACACTACAGATTTTGTATTGGACCGTGCCACTCAATGTATGTTACAATCCAAGGACATGTCTCATGTTTATTGGAAAAATCCTGACCTGACTTGGATTTTTTCTCAAAATTCTGACCTGAACTATTTTTTTTCTCAAAATCCAATTGACAAAAACCTAATCCCCCAATAACCCTTGTTTGGTTTTAAGAAGTGTCAAGGAGAATCTGTTCTCCCCTTGGAAAATCATTTTTGCTTGCTACAATCGCTAGAGATGAGTTCTATCCCAATTCCAAGTCAACTATAGGAGTAGAATTCCAAACACAGAAAATAGATTTTTTCTCAAAATCATGACCTGAACTAGTTCTTTTTCAATCCCCTATTCGTAGAAACCCTAATCCCCCCATTAATTCGGTTTGGTAAGACTGCCATGGGTCCGACAAGAAACCCATTCAAAAAACAAAGATGCAAAGCACAATCCACAAAGCATAAGCATATAAGTACCAAATCCACATCATCAAGAACATCCACATCATGCACTCCCCAAAACCAAAGTCCAACTAGAGTCAAACAAAGTAAGAACATAACAAAACTCACTAGCCAAAAGTTTAATTACCTTCATTAATTCCCAAGAAGAGTTGTTGGTTGGGCTAGAATCAAGAACAACTTTATATGCGGTTTTTGATATTGCAGTTGCAGCTAACACGCCAACCGGTTCACCAGCAGGGTATAAATTCCAAGCACTTCCTCTGCCATATTCAAATTTCTATTCATTGAAATACACAAGTGTGCAATTTTCTCTATGCAAACAAAGCATATGAAAGGTAGAAACAAAAACATAAAGCAGAAAACGTGGAAGTAAAGAAACTACCCCATTAAGCTTTAGCATCAATCTGCTTATCAAACGTGTCTTCCACGGCTTCCCTGATATTCCACCCACATTTCATTCGCAAGGCGATCCCTAAAACGACCCATCTCTGTACGACTAACATTACCTCCTGTTACAACTGGCCCTTCAGGGACATTACCATCAGTGTCATCGTCATCAAATTCATCATCATTGTTCGGATCTATTTCGCTTACCGGTACACCATCACAGTAGTATTGATTTAGAAGGGGGTCCCCCTCATTAAACATGTGAATGAAATTGTGCAGTATTGCACAAGCAACAGGAATCTTCTCTTGTTTATCCATTGGATACGTATTATT